GCTAGAATTTCTGATAATCTCTAATAATTCTGATAATCGCCCCTTTTTCCTTCTCACACCAGCCTGCAAGAGAGCTGCAGTATTGTACATCACTCTTTTTTAGAATGTCTTTTATTTAACTACTTCTGTTATTTACCCTTTGCTCCTACCATACAACTATCTACTATCTTCTTTCATGATGTATTTTTATTGTGTATATTGTATATCTTTTTGTTGTTGTGGTTCTGTAAAAACACTTTGAGAAGCCACCTTTAAGGGCACTATAAAAAGTTTTATTATAATTAATATCAATACCAGTTCTTAACTGTGTTGCCTGCACAATAGTGCAGCCAGTAGTGTTTTGCCTATATTTAACAGACTCCATGTTCTTCCTACCTTTAGATATCTCTACACAATGACTATCATTGCTTTAAGACATGCTGTAACATACATTAAGACAATAAAGAATACCAAGCATTCTACATATTTTTAAAAGACCCCCTGAAAGATTTGCTGGTGAGTTTATGACAAGTTAAGGCATAGATACATCTTTCCCCCAGAAAAAAAACCTCATATGAGTGAGGAATATCTGAAACCCAAACAGCATAACTCTTACAAAAGGGAAGAAAAAGTCTATTTTGTCTTATGCACTATTGTGGATGTGCTGCTGGTGTCCACTAGAGGGACATACTGTCCACTCAGTTTGACAGGTGACAATGTTATACAATCAATGTCTAAAGTAATAACTCATGAGAGTGTGATGGTACACTTCTGTGTTTTTCTAGAATAAATACAGATCATTAGATAAGAGTTTCAGTGAAATGATCTTGAATTACAGTGGGGAAACTAAAAAAAGTACACCCTAATTGCTCAGATATGTCCTGATCAGAGAGATCATGGATTCTGGCCATTTCAAATTAAGCATAGTTTAATTCATGGTTTTCCTTTTTTTTCCTGAAAGAGTGTCAAACCTGGCAGGAATAATCTTTTCAGTACTCATGAATGCCATGCTCTCAACATTGTAAATATTCTGATGACCAGAAGGAAAGATCACCTGGATTTCTCTAAAATTGCATTCCAGACAGAGACTAACCCACTTTCATGTGGGTTCATGTGAGCTACTGGGAAAAGATAATCCACATAGGTTCAACAAACATGTTGGACAAACTCAGACACTTCCCAGTGTCAAATTAAGCATTCTGTAACTTGTAAAAAACTGCTTCATTAAACATCTTTGGCAACAAATGTATTGCTTCTTTGATCATTTTCAGAAAAGAGTGTAAGGCTATGTCTCATCATTCATAAAGCAGGCTTCAGACAGATGGAGAGGAGACTCTATTGCTTTGTTCTACATTTGGAACTGACAGGCAGTCTTGAAGGGTCTGATCTGAGCCCTAATACCACAGGACTCTTCATCAAGTATTTGAATGGTGTTGATGCAAAGATACCACTGTCGTAAATCAAGCTGATCTAGACAAAATAAAGACATGCTCAAAAAACAAATTACAATTTAATTTGTTCCCCAGTGTACTAGATTGACACCAGCCGAAAGGTCTAAACACTCAATACAGCCCAGCCTTGGCCTCAGAAAACTCCATCCTGACAGATACCCAGAGTCGATTTCCACTGACGCAGAATCCTCTCTTCAGGTATTTTTTTCAGGCAACCACTACTTACAATACCAGGTTCTGATGGTTGTCTTCAAGTACATCACGTGTCTTGCTAGGTGAATTCTTCATAAATTGTAGCTGAAAAACTACAGAGGGTTTCAGAGACTCAGAGGACAATAATGAGGACCCAGATAGTTAAAGACAAGGTGAGGCATAAAAAAGATTTTCTTCCAGTTCTCCTTGACAGCATGCTAAAGAATGGTGTTCTTGCCCTAAAACTGTAAAACCAAACCTGAAAGAATATCATACACATTTTGTCTTCTCTGCCTTGTAGTGTAGCAATGTCATTAAATCTTTGGAGTGCAGGAAACCCCCAAAATTCTAAGGGGTTGCCTAGGAGGATTTCTTCAAGAAAGTCACGCATGATAAATATGGTTAATGGAGAATCTCAACCCGACCCTAACAACTAAAGTTAAACAATATCTTGATCTACACTCTTAAAACGCTGCAGGCTTCCGGAGCTCCTGGAGGATTTCAAAGCCCAATTCTCATGCCAGCCATTTTGGGGCTGGTAAAATTCAGATCCATACCAATCTGTGCTTTTTGTTTTAACACAGATCTTTACCTCAGACGTCCTCTGTTTTACATTGGACATTGGAACCTCCAGCAAAACTTCAAACTCAATTTTAATCCCATGTGAATCAACCATGGTATGACCCTTTTTGGAACGTAATTTAAAAAAGCAATACGTCCCACATACACATCCTAAAACCCATCAGGGATATCGATGACAAGTGTGAGAAATCCATGCAAGCAATCCATCACATAACAACCATCAAGAAGCATCTAAATGAAGCTCAAGGATGTCTTTAATATTCCCTGGATCTTGAGCCCTTTTTTCAACTCTACAGAGGTGGGAAAAGTATTCATCAGCTTCCCACCTTTCTCAAACTGTCAGAACTCCAGTTGGTTTTCCACAAGGAAAGGCGGACACCTAACTGATTCGACATCTGACAAGGCTATAGAGGAGCTGCTTAAAAAACAAGCTGTGGGAAACAAACGTAATTTGTCTTATGACAGCTGGGGATATCTGGTCTGCTCTTCTGTACCTGCAGGCACAGTGTGAAACATCCCTCAGCTCCACGTTACACCAGACCAATGCTGACCACCAGTCCTGTGAGCAGATAGGTCACACTCACTTGATAATTGGTGGCAATGTACTGTTATCTAGTACATCAAAATTACTAGGTACAGGTTTAATTCCTATTATAAAGTCCTTGTCTGGCAGGTCTCAGCCAAAGCAAATATATATTCTAGCTAGTAATTTTTTTAGTTGCCTGCTATCTGTATTTATTTACTTATAATGACATAATTGAGGGTCATACTCATTCAAATCGACTAGGAGAAGTTATTGGGGTGCCATTTGAGTCTGCAAGTACAAATGGATGAATTTTATTCGATTTTAAAAGCGCTAATTAAACTGTTTAAGTGTAACCGGTCCTCCTTTTAAAACTATGGTCATATTTGTATACTTGTATTGGTCAAATAACTGACACAGCACGATGGCATCAGGGAAAAATCAATAACTTGCTAATGAATTTCTATAATCAAAATTCAAGCCTGAACCAATACATTTTTCTGAAGAAACCAATCTGTCCATGCGAGAGGCTGACCATGCAATACTTCTATTAAAAAGCACACTTTATTTTATGTGACTAAATAATATTTAGCACGCTGATGGAGGGGAAAGGTGGCAGATCTGCACTAAAGTTATGGTTCCTGCAGATCCATAAGACTCAATGAATGAACTATGAGTTAGTGGAAAGTCTCACAAAAGCTTCCAGCTCTATAGCCCTTGACTCCTCCCTTGCTATTTAAGACAGACAAGTCCTTTTCAATTACCTCTAGCTTTTTTTTTTCCACAGAAGAGAGGACTGTTCAGCATCACAAAAGCTTTTTTTTTTCCTGAACAAGAGCAGGAACATTGTCACAGAAAAACATCGGACAAACTGATGTTTTAATATTACCTTTGAATGGCTGTGTTATTACAGATTCGCCGTCATAAGCCTTCCAAATCTGCAGCAAAGTCCACACTGGTACTGCAAACCTATGCTGGGAGAGTCCCTTCAACACTACTGCCAGAGCCCAAACACCTTATACCAGGTGAAGTTTTGGTGGCTGTCTTAAGTTCATCACGTGTTGTGCCTTGCTAGATGAGAACTAGAACACAGAACTACATGAGTGAAATTCAACACAAAAATCCCCGGTGAATTCTGACACTGAAATCACTCTCTGATTAATTATTCTTAACTGGGCAGTCTCCGTGAGTGTCTAAAGCTAATGCAACTATAGTTAGCCGAAAGATTTAACCACAATGCTGTAAAGCACTGCATACTTCAAGCAACCGAGACGCAATGATATTGTCGTCAGTAGCTGCCTGCGCATCAAATTCCATTTACTTTCGTATTTTATCTGCTTAAAGATCTCAGATCGCTCCGAGAAAGGAACTATTTCAGCCTCATTTGTTTTCCTCCCTGTTTATTCACTTTTTACCAACACACCAATACCTCTCCCAACAGTACGAAAAATAACGACAATGCATTATTTCTCTCAAAGTGTTATCATTTCTGTTTCTTGACGGGAGGTAGATAAAACACAAACTCCAGATGACAAAGATTCCGATATAACAGATACTGACTGTTTTGCTAATAGGACTTGATTTTCACGCAAAGAATGAACGGGTATAAAACTATGGAAAACCCGCTTAGCTTGAAGTCGTACCACGGGGTAGAGGGTACAAAAAGATTACTTTAGCATGGTGCTTTAATTGAAAATGTTTCCTTTGCGCAGTATGTAGCATGTTTCCAATAAGACACCGCCAACAGGAATATCTCAGGGACGCGTGTTTAATTCTAGGACTGAGAAATCAAGAGTTATTCCCATAAAGATGGCAGAGTCGGCATTTATAAAAAAAAAAGAAAATCGAAAGAAAGCCGGCGTGTTTCTACAAGTCGTTAGGAACATAGCAGACCCTTAAAAATGTGATGCGCGCTTCTAGAAGATGGCCAATTTCTCACCCTGACGCAGAACAATCTAAGCAACAATTCAATTAAAAAAAAAACCTTCCTTGGTCATTGTGTGAATGCTTTTATAACGTCAAAGTGAAAATCCCTCTGAAAGATACTTTTAGAAACCACGACCGGTTATTTACCATGCAATCACAATTGCAAGAGGCCATTTATTAATAGAATCCAGGAAAAGCTGCACTTGTGTGTTATAAAGTAACCGCACTCTATTTTTAAACAAGTCGGGACTCACACGTGCGAACAGGGTATGAGCTACAGAAATCATTGTAACAGTAAACACTGCTTGAGAGCGGCTAACTAATAAAAAAAAATACTCGGTACTCACCGCAGATTCCGAATTCTGAATCACGATACATAGGATTACCGCTAGAAGACACACAGCAAGGTTCTGCAAACGATTTTCGTTTTTAATCTTCATTTTCTAAAAATTACTCCTACTCAGCACTGACATATACAACTGATTGTGGATGTGGAATTTGTCATATTCACGAACTAACTCTGGAAACAAAACTTAGAACTTGTAAATTGATACTTATAAAACTCCCAAGCCGTCCAACCCTTAGCGCTTCCCTTTCTGCAAACCTTACTAACTTTTTCTCTCCCCTTAACCTGCTGGCCGGGACTACTTCCCCAAATAAGGAAACAAGTGATCCTTGCGCCGAGTAAAATTGTAGTCCACAAAAAAAGTTTTGGACTTGTATCTTTTTTAGAATGTAATATAAACGGAATATCATCATTGTATAGATTTTTATACCAAAAAAAATTGTTTTTGTATTTGCTTTTGATGAAAACACTGCCCCTTGAACTGCGTTTCTCAATAAAACAGCAATTTGCAGCGGATTAATTTCAGTACCGGTCTATAATACCTAAATATAAATTATTCCAACACCCTAGTCATCCTGACAAACGTTTGTGCTACAACATTTAACTTTGATGTAATTTTAATTGTTTTGAATAATATTTTCCCACTTAACTGTATAGTTTTGCAAGAAATTAATTTACCTTGATATAGTTTACACAATATTTGTATAATATTGTGATTATGAATAAAGTAACCTTTAAACACCATCACGGAAAATAAAAAAGTTACATTTACAAATATATGCATTAGGGAAATCAGCTGCTTTAAAGAAATGTTAATATTACACACAGTATTACATACTAAAGAGTTGAAAATGCATAAAATGTGTGAAGCTTGGATGTTTTCTGAAAGTCATCTTTAGATTTGTGTCGTGAGTTTTTTATGTATTATAACTTAATTTATCATAATCGTCGTCATGATTATCAGCAATAATGAACCGATTTTATGGGCTATTCCTGTATCCCTCTACTATTTGGAAAAAAAAACCTACAAAATTGCTTGTTTCCTCCAGTTTTGTGAGGGGCGAAACTGATACAAGTGAGTACTTAGTAGTGACACAAACAGATTCACGTTTAAAAGCAACGGTTTTCTATTTATGATATTCGTTTTCTACCGACAAATTGTGCACGTTTGCGAAAGAACCAGCAGTATTCTCTTAATGAGGTATTTAAACCATTTAATGACAAGCCGCGTTTTGTTCTCTGTGGTCGTGCCGTTTCTCTTTAGCAGTTCAAGAATTATGAAAAGGAGGATTTTCACAGACATTTGCTTTTCATTCGATCTTCTCTAAAGTCATTAATCGTGTACTGCCAAGATCAGTGATTAAAATGGGATAGTTACGCCACTGGAAATGTATGAAAAGCTTGTATTTGTAACAGAATCCAGACCTCCAACTCAAAGATGTGAGATAAGGGCTGTTAGATATCTTCATGCATCTACTTGTCACCCAACAATGTAATCCATCATAGATGTTAGATTTAGTTTTGTCACCCATAGGCGTATGCTAACAACCCAAATATTTACTTGAAGGCCACAACATCTAACTGTTTGATCGAAGGATCTGGATGTATTACCAGTCATAAAATGCTTTGAAAGAAATCAAGACTAGCTCTCAGAGATGTCAAAACTACGGTGCAGGTTGTGTTTGAATAGTTCTGCTTTATTTAGTTAGTTCCCTGTATATATGTATTTATAAACGCTAAAATAACGTTCAGAATTGTTACTTAGCATATGTGTGCAATAATAGGGATAAATTACCTAAAGCAGTACAAGTTCTGTTGTGAATAAAAATGAAACGCATCTTGTCTGACCAGCACACCACGGTTTCATAGAGTTTTTCACTCTTATATCTCACAGCGCAGAAAGAACACGTTTCTGCGTGTATTGTCTTATGTAATACATCACCAATTTCCCTTTCTTTGCCGAAGGAAACGTGTACTTTTTCTAGTTCCTTGCTGGGTAGCCTGTACCGGGACCCCGACAGCCACGAATGGGAGCAGACCCGGTCTGTGCCGGGTAGCTGCTGCTCAGCCTTTGACAAAAAGCTGAGCGACGGGGGATGATCCAAATACTTTGAGCTGGATGAAGCGGGGGGAAAGAAAACCAATGAATGGGAAGCATTGAAACCGAGACCTTCAAAAGATGGAAATCAACGTTTTCCAAGTCCTGAGTTGCTACAAAACAGCTAATTATCGACCGAAACAGGCAACTACGAGATAAAAAGGCTACAATGACGCAGGTCTACTCCTATGGCTTGAAGTGTCGCGGCTTGTTCAGAAGGCCTTGATAAAAAAAACATTATTGTTATTGTAATGATAAATGATACTATCGCTTCCAGTTCTTATTTGTGTTTGTGGTTAACAACAATAACAGTTCTCATAAATTTGATGCGGAGCTGAACTGAACACGATTCCCGTTAGGCGCGGGTCTCTTTTCTTGGAGCTGTCCCCTGATTGACAGCCGCACGCCCCGCCCCTGCCCCGTGCCTGCTCCGCTCGCTTCAGTGTGCACGGGCTCAGGTCGGGCAAGGAGAGAGCTCTTCCACGGCGTGTGAAGTTTGTGACTCCCAGCTTTTCTGCCTTTTTAAGGTGCCGATGTAACCGCCTTTCCTTCTCTCGCCGCAGACGTTCGCCGGATTTTCGAAAACCCTTCGCCTGATTTGCGCGTTACTCTTGCTTGTCTGATTGATCTTTGAATTTGTTTCTGTTTTTGCGAAGTGGGGGACCCGCTGGCAGATACTTCAATGAGCGCTTTTGAAGTTGCTGCAGCCTCTGGCTTTCCTCTGAAGAAATGATAGCTGCGCTGCTTCCCGTATTCTGCTCGACAGACCAGAAAATGAAGTACTTGTAAGTTTGAGCTCTGTTACAAATTCATCTTTTTTTTTTTTGGGTTTGGGGGGTTGGAATTCCTTAAAACGATACATTATGTCTAAATTAGCAGATGCTGATATGATTTAGATTGGATCAAGTAAAAAAAGGGGTAAAATGTCTTTGTTGCAGGTCTTTTTTCATACTTGTCACAGTCCTGGCGGCAGATTTGGTCCACGGGGTAAGTTTAAAATATTTGTTAATTCTATTAAGATAACGTGTTTTCTGCAAGTGCTGTAGTTCTGGACGGAACTGTCGTTGATGCGGGTCTGTGCAAACGCGCTTTTCCCACGACACACCTGAGTTTTGAAACCGCACGTAAAATAAAACTTGCCATCTTGCCAATAAGGTCTTCGTTACTTACGGCGTGTTTCTAAAAGTGCATTAAACCGTTACAGTTGTTTAAAAAACTCCCCATTGTAAATACTCCCGTTAGAAACTTTCGTTTTGAAACGACTGCTTTGGCTTCACATATAAAGTGCTATTCGCTGGATTCTGTTTTGGACAGGCTATGTTTAGTATTATAACGCATTCATGTGTGCTTTTATTTATAGCCGCAGAGCACGGGCTTGTTGTGACCGAAGTTTTAATTGAATGCGTTTCAACTGCTTTTGTGCTTTTGCGAGCCTACATCAACAATTTGACAGCAGATGTACAAATAATGCCCTAGTTAAAGGGCAGAAACGGAAAGATTATATATGCGGTACAGTAGGTTCGACATTCTGTTCCATGTTCATGGACATGCATGTTCGTATTTATATACTGTGTTGGGGACGGTGGGTTGCATGAAGACGTCGTCGATTCAGTTGGTGGGAGTTGAAGGAAACGAGTCGGTGTAACCTAACCCCACAGTGATTTACAAAAGCGTTAGCTTTATCCTTCAAGGAACCTACAAACCCACGAAAAAGAGTGAAATTCGAGGATATATATTGGGATTCTGGGAAAAGAAGTCGCATTTAAATAGGTATCCTACCGCTGTACCGAAGTCCAACCTCGTCCTTGTTGTATCTTATATTCAGCGTATTTATATGCATTATTAAATGAAAAACGATTAGTGGACCAAATGAATGAATCAAGTGCTACCAGTGGCTTTATGCCTTTGATGCTTCCCAGTGATCTGTAACGCGGTCTAAACCTACTGTACAACCTACAACATCACACTGCTTGTAGTAAAAAAAACAACTCGCTTAAACGTTCATGAGGGGAGTAGAAAAAAAGTTGGTTTGCAACCGAATAGCATATTATAGTCCATTTTGAAGTAACATTAACGTTGAAGTCCATAGCATACCAAGAGCACCTCGTAGAGCCCTGTGTAAGCGGTGTCCATCGTGGGCAAGACACGGGGCTCAGTAAAAAGCGCCGCTGTTGCTTGGAGAATTCCGGCCAGGCGACATGACAGGGGTACAGTAACATACTGTCGTACCATGGTAACAGGTGTACAAGTCGCTCGACAGTTGTGCAAACCTTGGAGGTCTTGGGTCCGGAAACCCAGGCCCTAAACTTTTCTGAGCGACAATATCTACAATTGCAGCGTCATTTGACAAAGGCGCAGTCTGCATTATGAATAGAGGACATTTGTTTCCTTGAATTATTTTTCGGACCAGGCTATGAAAGGGCATTCAATGATTGAAAAGTATGAATTTTTAAAAAAGGACTTTAAAGTGAAGGAGATCAAGGAAATGTTATTGCAGATGACGTCTTTTCCTTTCAATCCCGAGATCGACGCGCAGCAGTTACAGTTTACACTTTTTCAAGTCGTTGACGGATGTTTTAGTTCCTACGGGGTAAAGAGCACATCAGTCAATGTCAAGGGCTGTAGATAAGATGGTCCAGGATTCGTCTGAAGTCCGTGTTAAAAAATAACGATACAAGATTTCTCTCAATATCACTTCCCATGATGGTGCTTTGATCAGGTTACATTAAAGAGGAGTGAACCTAAAATGTGACTCGACTAAACTATAAGGTCATCTTAATCTTGAAAATCCTGGTTTATCTTCAGTGTGTATGCAAACGAAGCTTTTGTTGTGGTAGGACTTTTTCTCAGAGTAACTACTACAAAATAATCAAATCTCCATTATTAGTGCAAAATTAAATTATATCAGTACCTTGCCAAAATGAATGAATTCCAACTGTTGTGTTGATTGTAAGTCACCAGCATCACTAAGCCTATAAATTCTGTATCTCTTGAATAGCTCTTGTCTTCTTCTCATAAAATGATAACATCCTTGTTAAGGGGACAATATTCTGGGCTCATCTTCACATTCTAGTAATAAGAGTTCTAGAACTGATTTTCTTAAGATTCAGATTTTAAAAGAAACACAAAACTCCAGCAGAGCTTTTCATTTTAAGCCCATTTCATTTGGTGAAGAATTACCCAGATATATCTGAACAGATACAGTAAGTGTCATCACAGATGGTGCCCATAAGGCTGCCTCTTGGAAGAAGTAGGGTGCTTCTGTGGGTCCCTATGCAATGTACCGTATTTCATTTCCTGCAGAGTTCTGAGAAGCGCTAGCTGAAATTGGAACTTCTAGTCAATTTAAAGATTGGACATCGCATTGACAATGTCTGGGGAGAAAAACATGGCAGAAGACCATTTCTTTTGTCCAGAGAAGTTTCTGCTGGGTTTCTTCTGGAGGAACTAAAAGGTTTTGTTGCTTTTCTCTCAGTGAATTTGAGTTTCAGTCAGTACAGTTCAAAGTATACCTTCCTCCATCACACATCTTCTGGGTGCCCTTTTGGTCAGTCTAGATGCTACAGCCGACAGCTGTAGGTTGTTTGACCAAGTGCAGGTGCCTAACATGTTAAGTATCTTGGCAACTCAATACTGGATTCTTCCCAGTTCTAGTCCTAATTCTAGGTCTGTTCCAGTCCCTTCCCTGAGCCAGTTCTAGTCCCTGCCATAGGTCTGTTCTAGTCCCTGCCCTGAGCCAGTTCTAGTCCCTGCTCTAGGTCTGTTCTGGTCCCCACCCTGTGCCAGTTCTAGTCCCTGCTCTAGGTCTGTTCTAGTCCCTGCCCTGAATCAGTTCTAGTCCCTGTCCTAGGTCTGTTCTAGTCTCTAATGTGAATCAGTTCTTGACCCTGTACAAGGTCTACTCTAGTCCATGGTCTAGATCTATTCTAGCCCCTGCCCTGTGACAGAGGAATCTTGTTAGCTTTTTGAGAAGGAAGTGGGATCCATTACTGTTAGGGTTAAGCAGGACCTTTGGGGTAACCTCATGCTTCTGGGGCTTTTACATCTTACATTCCGAGTAATAGTGCTTACTACACTTCACTACTGGTAATTGTTGGTCTTCATTTCCAGTGGCAGTTCTACCTTTCCTAAATGATTTTTTAAAGTAATACAGTATTCTAAACATAAACTATGTGTTGTATGAAAAGTCTTCCAAAATGTGTGCATTCTTCTTTTCATACAGTGCTGGACATGACAGTACAGTATTTCCATGATTTCTCAAATGAAAGGGGGCATTTCTGCCCTTCAAGCTCATGTGGTCCTGTTTCTCTGTAGTTTTGTAGCACCACTGATTGTATTGGGAATAAACTGCCAATTTTAACATATTTGTTGTTTTTGATTCTTAACAATACAGCATTATAGAACCTCTTCAAATGGTTCTCTGCTCCGTTCTCTTCAATATGATAGGTATGGCTTTCAGCAATATTTTCAGAGGTGTTACATGAGTAATTTCTTCACTGCAGTCTTAAGGAAATACTTCCAATAATCTACATTAGCGTAATCTGAATCTTTTCCTGTAAAAATATTAAAAAGTAGTTATTTTATACATCTGTACATGTTTGGAACAACAAATACATCTTTGTTATTTCAAATGCTGAAGATTTCATGCTTGCCGGGATCTTTTAGAATTGAGCTTTCAGGCACTGATTTGGAATTTGCGTTTTGTAAATCAAGGTTGTCATTTTGATCAGCTTGAAGTATACTTGATTTTATTTCACAAAGGATTGGGATTTTGAGCTTAAATTCTCTCAGCTATTCTATTGTTGATGTCCACAGTAATTTGGGATCTGTTTAAGCAATCCTGGGGTTCAGGTTTATGGTTGTGCTAATTCTTTCAACAATTTTACAAAATAGAACTTAAAATTCCTCGTATGGCATTCCTTTATTAACAGACTAGTGTGACTAACAAGGGCTGTTGGCATTTGCCAAGGTTTCTGTTGCCACAGTGAGGTCTGGTGTGACTTTCTTTCCAGTTGGTCTCACTGAAAAGGGCTGAGCCCTGCTGTTACCTCTGAAACCTGGTTATAGATACAGTTCACATGAGCAGCAGTGAGGAGGCCAGGCTGCTGTTCAGAGCAGAAAGATGTTTGGGCCGTGGTATTAATCATATCATTTCCCGCCTCTCTGAAAATGATACTGTTTCATTTATTCCTGTTTTGGGGTGTGACTTTTGCCAAATTCCATGTCACACAAAGACGTTTTTATGCCTGATGGCCATCACAGAGATTGGAAACTAAACATTTTTATTTATTTCATGGTCTGATTTTTTTGGGGGGGCAGGGTAGTGTAAAGCAGCAATGTAATATGGAAAAGACAATCCTATAATCTCCCACATTCCCCCTTCTATCCCTGAATCCCTCCCCTAATCTGGTAATCTACCCCTCCTCCACACAACCCATCATCCCTGCCCAACTAGCACACTCCTTACTACTTTACAAAACCACTGTCTTGCTGAGCCCAGGTCTTGAGGTCCTCTGTAGTTTAGGAGAGTCCTAAACCACAGAGGACCCAGGAACTGGGCTCGGTAAAACAGTAAAGTAAAGTAATAAGTCTCTTCATGCTATGGGGTGCCAGGTGGAGTATGTGTAATTCAGAAAAAGCCGCAGTATCTTCTTTTAGTGTGTGTAACTGCAGTGTGCTTGTCAGCCTTGAACAGTCCCCTCCCCTGCTCTGTGTACACCACCAAGACAGGATAGAGACTGACACCAAGGCATGACACCCCTCTTAGCAGTAGCAATGCCAGGCAGCTACATCTAGTGAGCACAGGGAAATCTAATGAGGGGCTGCCACTCAATGAAAGCAGCTCTTGGATATTTTTCCCCAAACAGCAGATATAAAGCACTTTCTACAGCAATATGTTTATGGTTATTAAGCATTGAATTAACAGCTCCCAGCAGGCAATTAACACAGTATTAAAGTATTGCTGGCTGTCAATAATTTCTAAATAG